ATCTATCTATCTATCTATCTATCCTATCCTATCCTATCCTATCCTATCCTATCCTATCCTATCCTATCCTATCTAAAGATCCTCATATATATAAATAAAAATCCTCACCCTCAAATGACAACATTTCCTCTTTCTACTCACGAATGAAGGCAAATATATGTATCCCAGGATAACGTTGCCGGATCCGATCTGAGATGGTCACTGGGACCAAAGATTTAGTTTTAGAAAGCTTGGAAGACTAGTCCTGGTAACGAACTCAGATTGGATCTGGTGGGATTTCTACTGTCTAGATGTCAGAGATGTCACAAGAATATGGGACTCCCGCTCCACGAGAGCTGGAAGAACGTTTGCCAGAGGCTTCCAAAACATTTGACTGAACGGTTCATGGGACAGAATAGGGAAATGATTAAACAGCTGACTGGGAAGCAATGGTCATGAATTAGAGTTCAACGCAAACACAAATGAAACCAAAGAATACACTTGTTCCTTTTTAGAGGGTTTTGAGCCACAATGTAAGGCGTTGTACACCACGGCCAAAATTTGGTCCAATTTATAGCTGGGCATCTTTCATGTATCTACTCTACCTTCTCTCCTCCAAGCTAAATATACCCGATTCCCTTATCGGAGTTCAGTTCTGTTCTCTTCACCATTTGAGTCCCCTTCGCTATGAAAATCCCTAGAAAAAATTCCTGGAAAACCTTAAGCAAACTATTTCAGGAAACAAGTGCTACCCCTGAATTTTGGATTCGCAGGGACAGGATGGGCCAACATATAATCCTTTCACACTGCTGCAATTTAACCTTAAGCGATTGGCATATTAGTCTTCACTGCCACTTTCCGAATGTGGCTCATTCAATTTCCTTAATTTATCTTTGCCTTTAATGGCTGCTTTTGAAGTAGTTTTTCTATTGCGTTTCCCCCATTCTTAGTCTTGGAAAAAAATATAAACAAATGGGGGAGAAAAATATGCACCATCAACTGCAAATGTGGCTCATTTTAATCTGTAATGGGGTGGTGAAAAACCCAACAACAACTTGAGAGTGGGGAGAAAACTAACAATAATGTAGGAAAATAGACAGGGAAACAAAAAGCTAATTATTGGGTTAGACGACTAATTAGTCTAGATTGTTTCTGGAGATGGGAATAATTTGCTTCATTTTATGACAAATGCCGAAATAAAAAGGCAAATGGGAAAACAGGTCTGGCTATGATTAGAAACAACTGGGACACAGAGCCCTGAAGAATAAAACTGAAACAGACCAGAGGAAACGGGGCTCAAAAGTTTCAGAAATTAGATTGACGTGTCACGGTTTGGAAAGCTCTCACTTGGGTCATCCTGCCCGGGACATCTCCCTATCTGCTACAGTCAGAACATCTGGGAAAAATTTGGCCAACAAGAAAGAGAGAAGGGGGAAAAGAAAGTAAGGACACCAGCTGCTGACCAGCACATGTAAAGGAAGTCCTACAGCTGGGCTGGTTTAAAAAAACAAAAGAAAAAGGCGAAGACACACATTACAAATGAAAAGATAAATGTGGTTTATTTGTCTTGCGCACGAAGGTCCCTCACCATCGGTTACAGGGAAACATTGCAATGAAAGAAAAACTGCAAAAATAAAATACAAGCAGAGTTGGGGGAACGAAAACTGGATCCCAGGTTAGGTTGGAGACTCGGCAATGAAAATTAAGAGGGTTGGCCAAAACAGCAAGTTAACCAAGTTAGTTAAGATGAACAAATTAGTTCCAGCAATTCCTGGGTTCGCACGTAGAATTGCCTTCTTGGGTTCATGAGGTGGCAGGGGAACTTGAAAAAGCCAAAAAAACAGATTCCTCATGAAAATTAAACATAAACAGGATTACCATAGGCACGTGCAAGCTTTAATCCCAGCCCTTAAAAGCTAACCCAGATTTCCACATACATTCAGCCCTTTCAAGATTCAGCACCCTTCCCGTGATGCTTCAGATGTGATTTGGAGGAAGTGCTTCAGAAGGAATGGGACTATAGACACAAATCTTCCGTGGCTCATTAAAGCAGCCATTTTTAATCTTCCAGATACAGCTGCTTTAATGAGATGTTGTGGGAAACAAAATAGACTCAACATGTCAGACTTCCATAGTTTCAAGACTATACATTCATCATTCTCCTTGCACTTAAAGCAACTGGGAGGACTTTGCCAACTGGAGGTAAGGGGTTAAGTAGTTAAATGTAACTGTTTTCTATTGCTGACTGGCCAGGCACTATGGTATTTGTAGTCCCAACCTGTCTGGAGAGGAGATGCTGAGATAGGAAAGGCTGTTTATTGGACCGAGGTCTTCCACCTGTCATTAAGAGGGAAAGAATCTGCTCATTGTTATTAAGAAGCCATTTCGGTTTTATTTATTTGCAATTCCCTCATCACAAAGCGCATCGTAAAGATGGAATAATTAAAAAGTTCCCAACCAAAAGCCATTCAGAAAAAGCATTTTTCCATTCAGAAAAAGCATTTGTGATAAATATTATCATTAAAGATTGCTCAACAAACCACAGAGAGATCCTTTGCTCCCGAGATCTCCCTAACTGGAAAATCAGGAAAAAAAATATCAATTGTTAGTCATCCCTCCTCCTAGCTCAATTCACATCCTGTTCAGAGGGGATCAAGAGATAAATCTTTATTTCTGTGCATTAATCTGGTCATATTAACTGGCAACAATGGGATTAGTCAAAGCACTGTGGCTTTTATTGGAGATTCTCTTAAAATCTATGTATCCATGTATCTCTCTCTCTCTCTGTGTATATGTGTGTATATGTGTGTGTATGTATGTATGTATGTATGTATGTATGTATGTATGTATGTATGTTGTGGCTCTGATTCCTGAGCCTGTGCTGTCAGAGGAAGAGGACTTGGAAGACGAGGAGGAGGAACTGGGAATGCCTTCCTCCCCAGGATCTTCCTCTCTGGCAATGCCTTCCTCCCTGATAATGCCACAGGTTTCATCAGACAACCGAGAGGAACAGCCTGAGATTAATCAGGAGGAAGGCATATCGGAGCAGCCCCTGACAGGGAGTCAAGAGGAAGAATGTTGGCTTGATCCTAAGCAGCGTCGTAGGAAGAAACGTGAGCAGCAACGTAGGAGGCGTGGGAGGGTCAGAGAGTGAGCTGAGTCATTGAGCCACACCCCACAGGGGATAAAAGTGTGTGTGTTGTCGGCTGGAACTTTGTACGGGGCAAAGTTTAAGCTTACTTCAGGTTTTCTTTGTGAATTATTCTTGTGGTCTGCCTTGTAATTCTCTGTAAGTAGCTTTTTACTTGTTATCAATTCGGACTTGGAAGGTAGAGCGTGTTGGAATGCCAAGGACATTATCAGTTCCAAAGAATTAACTCTGTGAAGTCTGAGTCAGCTTGCCTGCCTGTGTTTGTGTGAGTTTGTACTCTTTCATCTTTTGAGAAAGAAGAAAGGTGAGACAGAACATATATATGTGTGTGTTTTCTTAAGTTTTCGCGGGTATTTATATGTATGGTATTCAGCTTTGTTCGGGTATTTTCCCACGTCATTGTAGTTGTGCTTTTAAATTTGTAGCAACGTTTCGGCAGAATCTCATCTGCCATCATCAGGCTTCTGTGTTGTGTTCGTCTGTGAGTCAGACTTTCACAGCCGTTTCTGTTTTAAATTTGGTGCTGGCTTACTGCTGTGCCAGAATGGTTTTTTCTTCATCCTGATTTCTTCATCTCAAACCCCCGCAAACTTTAACTTTAAACTATCCACCATTGACCTCACCCCATTCCTAAGAGGTCTGTAAGGGGTGTGCATAAGTGCAGCATCATGCCTACTGTCGCTGTCCTATTGTCCCCATTGATTCGTACCTATTTCCTGTATTCTTACTCATGTTTATGCTTTTTAAAAAATTTCATTTATTTATTTTCAAAATACATGTGTATTTACATTTAACAGTTCTGTGTCAAGCGTTACATTTTATTTACAATTCTATTTCCTATCAAATCTTTCTTTTTTCTAACCATATATATATATATATATAAAACATTTCCCAAACTTCATAAAACTCCGATTCCTCTTTGCCTTTTAGTTTTCTCCTAAGCCTGTCCATCTCGGCACAATCAAGTATTTTACTGATTACCATGGTTTCAGAAGGTGCGTCATTTACTTTCCAGCTTTGGGCCTAGGCGATTCTCGACGCTGTTATTAGGTGTTGAACAATGTATTGGGCGGATTTCTCCAGATTTCCTTTAATCATTCCCAGTAAGAAGT